TTCGCTGCTGCGGAGGCGAGCGAGGGCGCGGGCGGGGAGTGCTTGACGGGCGAGAATGCGGAGAACACACTCGGAGCGGCGTTCTGGCGCTTCGCCTGGCTGACGCCGCGAGCTGTCGTCGGTGCTGTGGACAATTTCGTCAGCGACGTTTGACAGCACGAGAGGCAATGATAAGCCTACCTTCGAAGACCTGGAGCTTAGGCTGAGACTGCGAGCGCGCATGGCCGGGGCGCGTAGGCCCTGCCTCCGCGTCCATACCGGCGTGCACGTTCTCCTTCCCAGAGACGGTCGCGAACTTGACTCTATCTCTGGTCTTGTCGGTCTTTGTGCACTCCTTCTCCTTTTCCTTGTTCGCGCGCGACCATGGCGGGAGGACGTCGAGCAACTTCGACACGTCCTTGTCGAGGATAAGCGAAGTCGGGCGTGAGTGTGACACACTCGCCGATTTCCCTGCAAAAAGGTGTCAGCTTGTCTCGACCGGGGAACATATTTGGAGGTGAGACGTACGATGCGACACAGCAGGCTCGGCGGCCGCGGTCCAGTATGGATCCTTCATCGCGTCGCTCGCATTGCAGCGCAGGTCCGCGTTGGGCAGGATCATGCGCCGCAGGAGCTTCTCGACGCCCTTCGACATCTTCCACGCGCCGACCCACTTGCCGCGGAGCGTGCGCGCCCAGTACTTCTCCAGGTCGTCCTTGGTCGCGAAGGTCTCGCCCTCCGCGTGCTCGAACGGCGTGCGCCCGACGAGAATCTCGAAGAAGGTCACGCCGAGCGACCACACGTCTGACTTGCGCGTGTCGTGAGGGAGGCCGCGCGCGCGTTCGGGGGACAGGTACTATATGATGCGAGCGCATGCAACAAGGTGAGGGATGGTCTGTCAGCGGGAGACATGATACAAATTCGGTCAGTACGAACCTCGGGAGTACCGTAGGACAGGTTGCTGTGGAACGCCTCGGGTGCGTCGACGTCGTATCGCTCTGCAAATCCAAAGTCAACAAACACCGGCACGTCCTCGTGCGAGAGGAGGATATTTGCAGGTCTATCGTAGTCAGTACCGCACGTCGAAGTGCACCAGATATGAATTGCGACCTACTTGATGTCGTTGTGCACGACGCCGCGTTTGTGCAGGAACTCGACCCCAGACAGGAGGGAGCGGAACCATTCCTTCGCGTGCGGCTCGGAGACCTCGACGGTGATGAGGCGGGGGTGGAAGGCCCTGCGCGAAGGGAAGCGCGGGTCAGACGCGCCTTCCAATGCGGGCATGAAAAGGATGACTGCGGTCGCGGACTTACATTGTGATAAGAGCGTAGGAGGGCGTGATGATGAAGGAGTAGAAGGGGATGATGGACGGGTGGGGTTCGTGTTTCAGCGAGCGGACGACTTTCATCTCATTCCATCTGCGAACGCGTTTCGCGCGTGAGCACGTATATAGTGGAGAGGAGCGAGAAGGACGCATACAGTGACCTGACTCTCGCTGCGGTTGTGGACGTCTTCGAGCGATGTACGAGCTTCACTGCAATCTTCGTCTCGTGTATGTGCTCTGTCGACGACTTTGGGCGACATAGCCAGACGCTGCCCCAGTTTCCGAAGCCAATCTGCGCGAACAGGACGCGGTCAGTCGAGCTACCCCACGAAGGCACCTGCGAACGGATACTGACTTCCTCGATGAACTGGAGCCTGTCGGCAAGAACCTGGTCAGAAATGGAGAAGATGTCCGTCGCCTCCTGCGGCGGCTGTGGTGGGGGGACCATGGGGGCGGCTAGTGGTACAGATTGAGGGAGAAGAAGAGACAGTCGGTGGGACCTCTTGCGGGCGACACGACGGGGCGGACGAGGGACTCAGGGAACAGGCATCAGTGTTCAATGGCTCGCTTAGCGGGCGAGTCGAACATGGGCGTGAGAAGCGAAGCTGGCCGCTTGACACGAGGCGCACGTCGCGTCGCGTCAACCCTCGACGTGTCCGGCGTCTCACCAGGAACACAACAGCTCACGCCACCGCGTCCCCGCCTCCCTCTTTCGGCGCTTCGACTAAAACAAGAAAGCTCCGTGGCGGTCATGAATCCCGCCATCGCTATGTGCCCACCATCCTCCGCCGTTGTGCTCGTTCTGGGACAAGAAAAGTGGTTGTCAAGAGCGCGCTGATCCGCTGAGGACCGCTGTTGCTCAATTGACAGACGTCGCCGCAGGATTGGCCCCGAGGTCGACAGCCCGGAACCGAGCAGCTGGCCAGCAGGGAAGTTCCGTTGTGCCTCATCCAGAGACTCCTTCCTAACGTTCCTCGAGGCTCGCAAACTTCTTCCTTGGTCTTCTATCATTTCTGACTGCTCTAGCATCTCGCTGCCTCAGCCGTTCTGCCGGCGTACTCGTTCCAGTGGGGCTTCCATCAATTTACGACTCAAGGCCCTTCAATCATACATACTTCAGCTCACGCGGCCGAGACACGCCTCAGTATCTCGTGAGGACTCGCACAAGCCATCGACTACTTCTACGCGGCTTTCGCGCCGACGAGTCTGGTACACGAAAAGTCAGAAGATGATACAAATACCAACGCGTACACATCAGCGTATATGTACAAAATTTTTGATGTGAGTTATGTCGACAATCGCAGTGATGCCTGTTTTCCCATTTACAACCTTCAAACCCTCCGTCAAGTGAACACAGTTGAATCTGAAAACGGGAATCCTTATTTGTGCCCATAACCTACACCAACGCGGCGCCTTGAAGACCTCTCCCGCGATCCACCGCCCACTTCTTCTCCTGCTCGCGTATCCGCAAGAACGACGCGTAGTACCAGCTCACGTCATACCAATCGTCACCCCCGACTTTCCGCAGCCGCGGACACGCGAGCGCGAGGAACGCAGAAACGCCGATGGGGTCATCGAACACGGATCCCTCCACGGAGAGTCGCTCCAGCGCAAGTGCCTCAGGCCGCGGGGCTCGGACACGGGACCGTCGACGTCGCTCATCCAACTCCGGGATGAAGCGCATGTCGAAAGTATGCACGAGGTCCGTGAGGTGGGGACAGCCGCGCGCGAGGGCGGCCAGCCCAGCCAGGGTCGCCTTGGGCAGATACGTCTCCTCCGGGTCCCAGGGCTCGGACTGCTCCTCATCATAGGTAACATCGTCGAGATGCTCGGGGTGCGTGAGCCATGGCAGTGTGATTTCCCGGATATCAGGCCACGCGTGTGCCATGGCCTCCAGCGTGGCGTCGTCGACTTCGATCTGACACGGACCCCGCACGTATAGGCGGCGGAGCGCACCCTTCAGCCCGGTCAGCGGAGCAATGTGTCGGGGTGGGTACGCGGGACGATTGACGTCGGCGAGGCGGGGGGAGCGGATGTCGATGTCATGCAGAGTCGCCCCGCTGGGAAGACTGCCGATCGCGACGCAGAGCGCCTCGAAGAGGAGGCCGTCGGGCGCGTTGCAGTGAGGGTCGCGAGTTCGGATGTGCAGCTTCTGCAGAACGTCGGATGTCACGGTGTTCAGGAACGCAGCGCACCACTCGAAGGCGATGTCGTGCAGCGTGAGCTTCGTGAGCGCGGGGAAGAAGCTGGCGGGCCGCCCATGCTGCAAGGCATCCCAGGTGTAGTCCGCTGGGTCGACGTGTAGGAGCATGTCCTGGAGGTGTGGTAGGGAGCCTAGGGCGGCGAGAGCGTCGGGCCCGACGTTCATGGTGAAGCCCCAGAAAAAAACCAGGTGCACGAATCCACGAAGCTCAGGGCAGGATAACGACGCGAAATTCGACGGCGGGCCTACCCTCGCTTCGAGGTGCAGCGAATTTACAAGTGGAGCAACGCAAGAGAGGGTCTTGATGACCTTGGTAGGGCGCTGGGGGTGTATCCACAAGCCACTGAGTCGGACCTCCCGCAAGTTTGGGCCGAAGAGGAGGTCCGCGGGATGGAAGAAGCCCTGGCCTGGCACAAGGTGTTCGTCGCTAAGCGGCCTTTCCGAGTGAGAAAGGGAGCGAAGATTCGGGAGGAGTGGCTTCGGCGCATGGCGAAGGAGTACATCCCAGACGTCAGTGGAGATATTGCGTCGTGCATACCACAACCCTCCGAGGGGGTTATAGTCGGGGGTGCAGCCGATATCCATGACCCGGACGGAGTACGTGGACAGGCGCACGAAGTCTCGCGCAACGGGCGCACGCTTCATGACCTGCGCAATACGGAAGTAAGCTCCTTTGATGATGTTCGAAACCCGTTCAGCAGATAAGTTGCACGCACTGCTTCGTGCCTTCCATAGCTGTATTCTCCGTCCGGAACGGGGATCGGTCGAAAGGCAAAGAGATCTTCTGGCAGCGTGCAAAGCAACGGCGCCGGAGATTTCAGCGTGCACCAGAGCACGTCTAGTGCGATCTCGCTGAGGGAGCGACAGGATAGGCTCAAAGGAATCAACCCACGGGGGGCTGCCCGGGGAAGACGGGGTTCAACACGTGCCGCGTCGAGCAGACGACATATGCGCAGAAGTACCTCCTCAGGCAATGAGAAGATTGTTGGCTGGTTCATTGGCAGGTACGAATAGTAGCCGCTGCGAGTGAGTCCGAGTCGTCACAGTGTGAGCGCAAGCTCGACGGAGGCTTCCTGGATGCCAGTGCGCGCCTGATGGCCCCGCACGTCGTGGTGGTTACGTAGAAGACTTACCAATATATAAGATGCGCTGGTACGGCATTCAATCCGATGTGCCCGTACTCCGGAGCTCGAAATATGGCAGGGTGTGAGTTATGTACTACGCGTAGTACGTACTACTTACTGCCGATGTTTTCGTCATGCATGGATTTTCCACGGGCGCACCGCATACTTCATGCATACTTAAGGAAAACTAGACATGTGGAGGCGAACTCGTACCATTTGGGTGACTTCTTGTGAAGGAGAACTAGACAGTCCTACCAGTCGGACAAGAGTCGAAGAGACAGCCGAGGTGGAGCTTCGAAGCCTTCCAAGTTTGAATAAGGCGCCTATAAACGTCATTGTCAAAAACACAGTATGATTGACAAAAGATAACAGCCCACCGCGGGGGTCGAACCCGCAGCCTTGAGATTCCCGAATCCTGAGAAGAGGAAGTCCGTAAAAGTCTCACGCTCTATCCGATTGAGCTAGGCGGGCCTTGTAAAAGGCTACTCCTGACTTGCTATGTACTGTGTGGTAAGGCACAGATATTGGGCAAAATGAATGACAACGTCATCGAGTGAGGCCGAGCGGGGAAACCGATCCCGTCCGACGCCCGACGAGCTGTCCTCCCCCGCACCCGCTCGCCTTCTCTCCTTCACCCCGTCTCCTTCACTGTTTGACGCATAGCACCTACAATGTCTGCTCGTACCTTCTCCCGCCGCCTCTTTGCGTCCCTCCGCACGCCCGCCAGTGCACGCGCTGCCGCCCGTCCCGCCGGCAGACGCTTTGCCAGCACAAGCGTCGAGCACGGCGCGAAGCAGAGCAGCGACCTTCCCTGGATGGTGCGTCCGGCATCCCAGTAATAACAATAATTTGTACACCTCGACTGACTCGCAAGCGTGCATATGCAGATCGGCTCCGCGCTCGTGTTCGGCCCTGCGGTACGCGTCTGCGCGCGATGATGTCGCGCGGCCACCCACTGACTTGCGCTCGTGTGCAGGCCGTGTACCTCCTCACCTCGTCCGGCAAAGAAAAGGGCAAGCACAATGCCGACGCCCACCACGACAAGGCTGCCAAGGCGCACGCGCCGTCGGAGGAGCTCGTCAAGAAGGAGGAGGCCCCCGCCCCCGCCGAGGTACGTGCCTACCCGTCATTCGCATATATGCCGCAAGAGTTGACGTTACGGACGCGCTGCAGGACACGGAGGCGTCGAAGGACGAGCAGCCCGCTGAGCAGTCGGTGAGTCCCGCCGGTGGTCTAGGCTGTCCCAGAGGTCTCGCCCGCTGACATGTGTGCTCCCATGACACAGGAAGCCGCGCCCGCTGATGATGGCGCAGTGACCGACGACGAGGGCACGACCGTCTCCGCCAAGGACGTCGACGCGTCTGTGAAGCAGGCGTCCGTGCGTACCCTCATCCTCAATTCATATTCTGCACGTTCTGACCACACCCCCGAGCAGGACTCCGACTCGCCCGCAGACGCGCAGCGCGCAGAGGAGCACGACGCGAAGTTCTCGCAGGGCGCGCCCGGACAGACCGCCGAGGCGGAGACCGAGCACGAGCAGAAGGAGAAGCCCGGCAGCTCGCATTCGGGCACCGTGCAGAGTGAGGGCGACTCGGGCCCGACCGACCTCGGCGACGCCCGCGAAAAGTCCAAGGTGTGTGTGATGGCTGCATTTGTGAAGAGGCTGGGGCGAGCTGATGCGGTTGTGTGTAGTCGAAGCAGGCGCCCAAGGAGGCGGCGCAAGACTGAGCGACCTCAATCTAGTGGACACCACACAACGGACTTATTGCATGTATCTAACTGTCTGTTTATATGGACGTTAGAGACGCTTGTTGTTGCTCGGAATGTCTCGGTCGTGTGAGCTTGTGGAGATGTTATGTATGTGGCGGTGCGTTCATATATTGAACGACTTGGAAGCGGGGCAGCTGAAGAGGTAAGTTGTACACTGCGCCGCGCTGGTGCTGATGGACGATGTGCGCAGGGTCATGGGTAAAGAAGGCCTGGCGTAGTGGCGGTGGACGAGAGGAACTGCGTGAGCGCCCAAAGTTGTTTTGAAATACCGTCATATATCTGATTCCAATCCGCTCTCCCGCTTTCATTATTTTGACGGGGTAGCATCCTGCAACCTTAATCTGCGCTACTCATTCACCGTTTCTCGCGATATCAGAAAGTGCATTATACGATACAGGACCCGGCTTGTGCAGTGGAACCCTTGTGTCGGCTGACCTCCCTCCCAGCGTCTGTCCTTCAAACCTGTGTGCCTCGGGCCCGGTCGAGGGGTTATTAAGCTTGTGGAAGTACGTCCCCACTTTCCTGAACCGGCCTGAGAAATTGACACCCATCTCGCGTCATAGGCGTCTGGTATGGCGACACTCGACGCCCAAAGAGCGCAGCTCCTTAGAAAGCAATACCCGACAACATCTCCATATCCCGGTAGCACGTATTGGACCGTCACTGATACGTCTCGAGGGTTTCATTAGCCTAGAAACACTAATACATCGTGTAGTCGTCCTTCTGACAGGCTTAGTGAGCAAGAACATATCGGGGATCGGGGAGCAAGTCGCTACGCCCGAGCGTGTACTTGCGCGGATATTCACACCCGGTGTCGTTTTGGGATAGCATATATACACCCTAGCACTTCTCGCCCCACCGCTATCCGGCACTCCCGCCTCATTCAACCCGCCTTCCAACAGCACTTCCGCCTTTCTACAACTCGCCTCAGCAACAATGGCCACCGTCGCCGTCCTCACCCCGCACGACGTCCCCACGACGCTCAACTACTACGCCCCGACGGACGACGCCGCCGAGCCCGCGTACACCTACGTGCAGGCGGTCCCCGAGGGCAAGCCGCGCACGAACGTCGGGCGCGACCCGCACCCCGTGGTCGTCCACGACGCGCGCGGGCGCGAGCACGAGCTCACGCTCGACACGGCTGGCTTCCAGTTCGTGAAGGCCCCGAGCGCGGAGACGAAGTTCGACGACGAGGAGCGCATCAAGACGGAGTATTACAAGGAGGTCGAGGAGCTGCTGAAGAAGGTTGCGGGCGCGAAGCGCGTGTTTATCTTCGACCACACTATCAGGTGTGTATCACTCGTTATATGCTGAGGACTGTCGCTGACGGCGAACGCTTGCAGGCGCCGCAAGCCCGGAGATGCTGGCGAGGAAACTCCCGGGAACCGTGGTCCCGCTGTAAGCACCGTCCAGCCTAATACCCACGACACACCACAACGTGCTCACCCCAACTCACCCCACAGGAAATCGTGCACATCGACCAGACCTACGACGCCTCCATCGCGCGCGTGCGCTACCACCTCCCCGCCGACGCAGACCGCCTCCTCAAAGGCCGCGTGCGCCTCATCAACGTCTGGCGGCCCATCGCGCACCCCGTCGCGCACCACCCGCTCGCGGTGTCCGACTGGCGCACGCTCGACGCGCGCGACCTCGTGCCGATGCGCCTCATCTACCCCGAGCGCGAGGGCGGCACGTACAGCGTGCGCTACAACCCGGGCCACAAGTGGTACTACCTCGCGGACCAGACGCCCGAGGAGGTCACGCTCATCAAGTGCTACGACTCGGAGGAGGATCGGGCGCGGTTGACGCCGCATACGGCGTTCCCGGATCCGACGGCGCCGAAGGACGCGCCGCACCGCCAGTCGATCGAGGTGCGCGCGCTGGTGTTTGACACGGAGTAGGGAGGTATGGGGAATGCGGTGCATGTGTGCTTCATTGATGGTTTTACTTGTATGTACTAATACTGTCTCTGGATCGGAATAGTTTGCGTTTGACCGAAGGTGTGGCAGCTCAGACTGCAGCGTTCAGCGCCGATACCAAGTGAGCTCGAGAGTACCATTTCTGTAGCCGAGCGTATAAATCAGTCTAACGCTGAACCGCAAAGTCACTGTGAAAAAACGACTAAATTTGCAGCGTAACTCAACATGGTCCTGGCAGCGCGTCCGCCGCCAGTCCCGTGCCCTACATGAACGGAGGACAAAGGAGAGACCAGTAAAGACTGAGGGTGATATACACCAGATACACCGGGTCGTCTGGGCCTCCAGCCCTCCACGCCACATACACACCATCGGCCGGCGACGGAATGCGGTGGGATGTAGGGATGGCAGAAGACGGGGCGTCGTGTTCGCACAGCGCAAAGCGGGTGTGGGTCCGCACCCAGCGGGGAACTCCCTGGCCAAGGGGGTTGCGCGCCTGCACTCAAGGTGAGCTTGAGAACGAGATCCATCAGGTAAAGAGGCACTCACTAGGGTACTCTCGCGGGAGCGTGTGGGTTCCTCATCGCTAACAGTGACTGGCGAGGTCACTATGCGGCGGCAGGATTTTATGCAGGGCGTGCAGCTTGGGAGTTGTGGGTCCAGGGGCTGGTGCTGTTCGCGTAGTCTTGGCGGCGGGAGAGTGGTTCCGTCAACGAGAGGCTTCTGGTGTATTGAATAGCGGGGGACGGAGTATCGGGTGAGGCAATGAGTGGGGACCTCCTAGGAATATAGATATAGGTGTGGGCTGTGCCTGCATAGCAGGATAAGCAAGCGAGTTGCTTAGTGAACACCAATGAGACGTACCTGATGCGAGAATTCCAAGAATCGCAGCTCCTTCGTGGAGCTGGAACTCCGTGCTGTCTTCTGTGCATGAAAGACGACGCGGAGGGGCATCGTTATCTCCCTCGGGGCGACAAGAATGCACTCTTGTCGACCCGAGTTCGAGTCTGAGTGACATGTCAGCGAGTCGCAAATATTATAAAGTGACTGGCGTACTTACAAGACGCATGAGGGAACAGTGAACATGTCCAGGCGAGCTTGGAACGCCGGAAGGGACATTCAGAGCGTCCTGCTAACCCTCGACCGCCATATGCAGGCACGCACATGGTGTCTAGGCTCGACTAGTAGCCGTCAAGATCACAATGTATGGGGAAGCGCACATGAGGACTTACAAGACGTGAGATGATCATGTGGGGAAGCAACGAAGCGCGGACTCGAGATGTGCCGAGTTCGTACGGTGGATAGTGACACAGTATCTGTCCCATGCTACATAGCACGCTTGGATGCAGGCACTTCTTGGGGAAGGACATGTTTGAGCGCAAGGGCCGTGTCGCGAGAACTGTGAAGGAGAATGAGATGCGTTCATCCGCCCTGAGCCTGAAACACGTACATGCTCCTTGAGACAGCAACCTCAGGGAGGGGTGGGTTGTTGATTGAAAAAAAAGAGGTAGACGAAGTTGAATCGCCCGGAGCATGTCATTCTTGAAACCGACCGCCAAATTTGCCTGGGGGGATCTCGAGTGTAGTCGAATATTCGGAACGCGACGACGGATAAGATATCGAGCCTGGAGAGGCGGTGGAATACGCGGAACAACGAGTGGGCGCACACTAGCTGAGCGATGGGTGACAAGTCCATCGTGCCAGCTAGGGAATGCCGACGGTGGGAAAGAATGACCAGGATGGATGGATGGGCTCGACGAATGCGCCGCGCTTGGGAGACCATGA